CTCGATTTGCTATAGAAATCAACTTTTAAGTATTGAAATTTAATCTTATAGGAAATAATTACAAACATGGTAATAATTAATGTTCCACCTTGGGTATCTTTGTGTTTTTGTATTTGCTCTTGTGTTGTTTGGTTCCAGTGTTCTTGAAGCTGTGTCAATGGACATTCTACTTGTGAGACACATAATCCAGCAAATCTCAGAGTTAAGGTCTAGGCCTTGTGGTGGTCATTTCATTCGGTGGATATCTCCTTATATTTTTTTTCTTTACCTTGTAAAATCAACATTCATTGGAAGTGTATTTGTGATCATTATCTGTTTGAACTATGAAATCTTGACCAATCACCTTCTCTACAGGGGGTATAACATGTTGGACTGATATACAGTGGTTTTTATGCTGAATCTAAGTTTCAAATGGACAGCAACTGCCTGTTGTAGAAATCTACAAATGTAGAGGATGATGTTTCAAAAGTCTTCTGCCTTTAGTCTTCAGACGGAAGACTTTCGAAACGTCGTCCTCAACATTTGTAGGTTTTTACAACAGGTAGTTGCTGTTTATTTGAAACTTAGATTCATTATGAATACTCTGCCTAAACAACCTATGAAAGGTTTTTATGCTGTTTCATAATCCCATCGATTTTGTAAGTTTGGCATCACCATTTATAGGTGTTGCTCCCCAAATTTTTACAGAATTTCCTACATGTTTATTTGCACAGTACACTCTTGCAAACTCTCATTGGCTCTGGTGAACATATAGATGTTGGTTGGAACCAGACAGTTCATACTTTTACTCATCTGCTCCAAAGGATACACGTTGTTTGTCAAAGATAGTTTCTTTGTGGAGCAAGGTCTATCTTGCTGCTATTCTTCCCCAGAGGTCACATTTTTGCAACATTGTTGTCAACCATGTTTTTTTCTTCTTTTTTTGCAGTTTTTCTTTAATTTTTCAGAGGATTGATTTTTAGATGTTTAACATTTCTTACTCTTCCTTATCTGACTAGATTTCCTTGTATCTGTGCAGTTTGTATTCACAGTACTTGGTACTTTGACTGTGATTCTGTCAAAGGGTGTTAACTCTCTTAGTTTTTGCCATTTTTATAGTGAGAACATATTAGCTGTACTGGATGAAGTTTTCAGAAAACAAAATCATCCATTATTTACCAATATGTACCTGCATGAAAAACTCGGAACATGAAAATTTCAAATTCTTGAAATAAAAACCACAGAACTAATTTACAAGGTTCTGTAAATATATATATATATATATATATATATATATATGGAAACATATAATTGTACAATAACATTTGTTTCTAATGCACATTATATTAGTTTGTTTTCACAGAGGAACTAGTACCCTGCTTCTCAAAGTCATAAAGGTTTTTATTTATATAAATTAGGTTACTGACAATCCTGAGGCAGTCTGGACACTGGATAGTGACTTGGATAAAAGTTCTGGGGATGAACAGGTTTTATTTTTGCTTGAGCAACATATTCAGAGGCTAACAAAGGAACGAGACGAGTTACTACAAGTATGTTTGATATGTTGTTCAAATTATTGTGCATTATATTAGAATTAAACTTAAAAGTAAACATCCTTCATGAGTCTATAGTTAGATTAAATATTTGTGACAGCAAACATGGATCAATGCAAAAATTACAGTGTAACTTTTTAGTTATTAAATTTGATTGATTTGAAAACTATAAATATTAGGGTTAAGTAATTTTAACTAAACGTGTCTGTTACAGAAGTCCCATGTAGTAGAAGTAAAGATTTTTCTTGTAATATATATACTTCGGTATTAATGGTTTAATATCAAACTGTCAATTTTAACAGATTTAACTTTTAAAAACTTTTTAAAAATGAACTTTTTCATTGATTTAAGAAATGTGTTTAATCTGAGTGTGTGTGTATATATATATATATATATATATATGGTAAAAAGGACATTGTTTGTGCTATGGTAGAAACTGTGTATTTTTTTTATTAATAATTTTATAGTTAGTAATACCTCCATAGCCTTCTGGAGAGATATTAATCTAGTCATGTAACAAGAGGCTCATGTTAAATCTACAGGTAGTGGATTGGCCATTTTTACCAAACTTGTGACCATGAAACTTTATTTCCTGTAACTGAATGTACTTAGTGTATCTTCACAAAATTTAGCAAGCCTATAGTAACCATTATAAGTTTCTTGTACTCAAAAATTAGAGTCTTTAATGAGGTGTTTTTACTAAAGATTTGTCTATGAACGTATAGAGCTCTTTCTGAATCGATCTGAATGATTTTACTGCTAAGAATAAAAATACTACTTTTCATATTTTATTTGCATAAACTCTAGAAACTCTTAAATGAATATCAAAGGTTGTTTTTTCAGTAAAACTTTATATCTAATCTTAGTTTCTCTACCCTAACACTAACTGTAGCAAAATTAGCAATGTAGGGTAAAATGAAAAGTTGGAAAATGTGAAATAAATCAAAATTACCATTTTTTTCTTTCTAAAATGACTGCATATTTAAACATACAATTACTATTTATTGTTAAAGTCAAAGTTAATAGACTTTTCCAGCTGGGTTTATTTAGTTTTTATTGCTTTACAGTTGCGTTTAGATTCTCTCAGACTACACTGAAAGCCATTTATGATAACCAAACAGCTATGTGTAAATAAATGATCGAGTTACATACACACCACAATCAAATTACAATCATGCAGTTTTATGTGCTTGTGCTAATATATAATATAATATAATATATAATACATATTTCTGATAAAAGTTTTCTTATCTAACTTTATAGATTTCTAGTTTCCACATTTTATTTTATGACAATAAATATAAAACGATACACGAAAACAAGAAATTTAGTACTTATGTCTGGACTCTTGCTTTTTTGGTGTTGCTTGATGGAACACTGTGGGTCTACTTTTTTTATTGTAATGTTGTTGTTGGTACAAAATATAATTAATTTTATTTTAAATATGCAATATAGATCTCAAAACATTATCACTCACAAAGAATAGAATGTTCTAAAACTGCTATAATTTAACTTGTCTTTTTTAACTAAGAAATAAACAAGTAAAAAATATCTGTTAGCTAATTGAGTCAAGCATCACAAAGGCAAGTAATGAAACTGAGGCTAATTTCCAAACCCGGTGACTAAACTAACTAGCCTTGTAAGGAATCTTGTAAAGAACAATCGACTTCATGAATAATCCAGTAGCAAGTGTCATTTTTTGAAAGTCAGGATAAGATAGGAGGAGTATCGGTTTGGCTTGCTTGTAAAGCATGAAGGTTGGAGACTATAAATTTATGTTATGACTTAGAAATATCTATGGTAGTAAATTGATAAACAAGGACTTATAAGCATTATATTATCATAATTTGTTTCCATACACAAATATCTGTAATATAAGTGTGTAATTGGTGGTACACTCAAAAGATTATAAAAGAGTAGAAAGAAATCTAAAATGGGCAAATCAAAGCAAAGAAGTCATATGATACAAAGAAGTGAATAATAAGAGTTTATTTAAATATTTCATTTTGAAATTAAAAAATATAACGTATATTGAAATTTGAATTACGAACTACATCTTGATGCCAATTTTATTGACATACATTGATAATAAAGTTTTTTAATTGAATTTTGAATGTAACTCTGTAAACAGGTTGTGAAATGTGCACTTTGACTCACCAGAATCCAGAAAGTTAACAAGTAATAATTCCTAATATCTTCTAGAGGGTTATTAATCTAGTCCTGGAACAAGAGGCTCATATTAACAGCGCATCTGTCATCAAGTCCGAAAAATCTCATCTTGTAGTTGAATTAGCAGAAATCAAATCTCGTCTAAGGAAACTTCAACAAGAATGGTATGACTTTTAAAACAGAAGTGTAGACTTGTTTAATTTTAAGTTCTGTTGTGGTTTCCTCATTATTTTGTCATTGATGATTTATACATCACTGACTTTTAGACTAAATGTTGATTTTGGCTGAGGCTACAAATAGAAATTCCAAGAGAGTTATACCATTTAGTTTTCTTGTGATTTTTATGAAGTAGTAGTAGTCAGATGGTCTTTTTTTTTTACAACAGACACGAGTTTGGCTGATGTGATAATTGTATTTAATTTTGCAGTGTGGAGAAGACTGAATGTGTCAATGAACTGAAGGAAGACTTGCAAGAAACTAAAGAAGTTTTAGAGAAAGCAAAACATGAGGTAGTGAACTAGCATCTAGTTTGTCATTTTCCTGATTTAAACTAAGCTAGTTTTTATTTGTAATTACACATTGAAGAAAAATAGACTTGATATAAAGGAACTGTCACTAGCTATGTTGTGCAATTATGGGTTGAAGTTTACAGCTCTTTTATAATAACCTACCTACCTTTGTCTTACAATTATATTTTCTTAAAATAGTAAGTCACCCAAAAGCTGGGCTGATATAAACAGCAGCACTTACTCAACATCTTGGCTTGACATGTACTAGTTATTTAGTAATGTAACTCATTCAACATCTGGGCTGAAATGTACTGCAGTCTAATTATTCAGTATTCTAACTCACTCAATGACTGAACTGATATGTACGACAGTGTAGTTATTCAGTACTGTGACTTCCTGAATATCTGGGCTAACATATACGGCAACCTAGTAATTCAGTACGGTAACTCAAAAAGTCTGGGTTGGCCTGTATGGCAGCCTAGTTATTCAGTACTGTAATTCACCCATCATCTAAGCTGACATGTAAGTAGCCTAGCTGTGCAGTTTTAGTAACCTGTAAAGGTTTTAAGTGATTCATTTTGTTCCTATTTATTGTATGATTTGCAGAATGGGGAACTACTACAAAGTGCCAGAGCGGCCAAGGCTTACAAAGATGAAATTGATATTCTGAAAGAAAAGGTAAGTTTATGTCGAACTTTCAAACATGTAACAGCACAAATAAAAATTTTATTAGAAGAAAAAATGATACAACTCTCACACATTTAATTTTTTGTTGTTGTTTTTCAATATAATAGCTATTATTTAATGTTGTTATTAACTCTATGGTTTTGGTTTGAAACCATTTGGCGTGTTTCTCCTATGGAGAATGATGCACAGTTCAACAAGATTTTGTTAAAGATTACAAGTATTTTGTACACAAAGAATGAGATTGTTTTAATTAAGTATTTTAATTAAAGATTTGCTATTTTTGTGTTCTAGTTATTTGCATTCAGACTCTGGTTATTTTGAGCATTATCATCAATGTATTGTGCTATGAAATGTTTAAAATTAGAAATAGACAAAAAATGTACATTTTAATTTTTTTGTTAAATAATCCTGAATAATTTCTTTTGGTTATTTTCTTAATTGTAAGTTTTTACTTCTTTCACATATAGTTTATTTTTGATGTTTTATTTTGCTTTCCCATCCTTTAGCATTATTATTTATCGTTACACATGTCAACAGGCATTCTTTGGGTGTCCATGGTAGTGACATTTTAGCTTTTGTCAGAATGTTGGGACATTTGCCTACTACACTAAGCCTGACAAACTGAGGCACTTTAGCTTATATTTTAAAAATGATTTAACCTTTCTAATATGCATTTTAGACATAGTAACTCATAATTAACTAAAATATAAAAGCAAAACCTAAATACAATTTAACTGTCTACCTAACAAACACATTTATGGGTGAGAAACTATGCTTAAAGTGTTAGCATTTGATAAGTTCTCTATGGAATGCTTTATGGCAATTTTAAATTAACTGTTGGAAGATAATATTGTAAAATGTGATCTTTCTGTTGGTTACAAACATCTAGTTCAACTAAGTATAATTGGTTGAGAAATTGCAACTGTGTGTGTAGAAAGTGGACGTGTCAAGAATTCCAAGAAATTTATTTCTCTTTTTCTCCCAACGTCTCCTAAGGAGCTTGAAAGAAGAATGTGTAAACAGAGCAATTAACCTAGATTCTTTCTATATATGGAAGGTTTATTATAGTTAAGTCGTTTTCAAGTAATAAAGTCCATAATTTAAAAATATGTGAAGTTGTGCTTCAAACTAAAGTTTAAGAGTTTTTCTTTAAGGTTTCTTTTGAAATAAAGGAATTAAAACTTATATAACTTTGAACTCTAATGTAAATTTTCATTGGTATAAATTGATAGTAAGAGTGCTTAATTATATTTTGAATGTAATAAAGTAAAATCCCATGCACAGTACAGGGGTGCCCATAATCAGATGGTTAAGGATAAAAGAGTTACAATATTTAATGTTTTTTGTTTATTATCAATTAAATAAAAATTTTGGTATTTTTATTTTTAATTAAAATACAACTGATTATTGTTCTCTCCAAGACTATGTGTTTTAATAATGTACTGTTTTATATACATGTTGAAAAGTTAAAAATGTCAGTATTTCCACCAGAATATTGTGCTATTGGGAATAATGTATTTTCTAAAGTAAGCTTTACACACTCAAAGATGTTATTTTTTTTCAGACGCAGAAATTAGACCAGCTTGAAAATGAGGTCCAGAGATATCGTGACAAAATCACAGAACTGGAGTTTTATAAGTCGAGAGTTGAGGTACGTATTGACTTTTTTTTTAACATGGGTGGTTATAGTTTGACATTTTTTTATCTTCTTGCTGAGGTTAAACACTTTTGAAAGTGACTCAAATTCAACTATTTACTGCTTATTTAGACTTAGACAATGAAATAAGCATTTCTATGAAAACAAAGTTGCATTACATTATTCAGTCTAACCTAACAACATTCTGAATTTTTTATCTGTTAATTTTTCGTTTGATGATAGTCCCACTAAGTTTCTCACCTCTCTTTTGCTGTGTTCTATAAACATTAGTGTTTAAGTAGATTGAATTATTTGGTATATTCAAAATTTGTCTGATAGATTTTTATGTAGATGTAGATCAAGAATGTTGTAAGTTTTAGGCTTTGTGGAGCATAATTTCCAAATTTAAATTTAGATTTCTATGTGCGTATATATTGATGATATCTTTACTCATCATACTACCCCACTGCAGATCCACTTGCTGTTTCATTATTATTCTTTTTAAACCAGAATATATTGTGTTAACCACATTGTTGATATTGGATGAGACATATGTGACCATCTTTTTTCTTTTTTTTTAAATATGGAATTAGAATGTTATTGTCAGTTAATCTTTGAGCAGTAAATGATGTATTATTCGTGCTTGATTTTTGTATAACTTTGACAGTAGAACTTCTTTTATTTTTGCCCAAGTAAGGCAACTCCTTTCTGTAACTATATTCCTTTGGTTACCAGTTAATGTTTCAAATTTTTAGTTCTACTTTCTTTGTGAAAGAAAATTGTAGACTGTTTTAAGTGAGACTGGTATATTTCTTGATTACGTTAACTAAGATCGATTGCATGCAGCTTTTGTTTGAATTTTTTCTAGAAGAGTCTGAAAACTGTTTTATGTACCATTCAGTTTTCCTTAGTGTTTTTTGGCCCATTTAAAATTTAAATTTTTCATATGATAAGTTTACAGATTTGTCACAAAAGTAATAAGTTGCCAACTTAAAACTCTGAGAACAAAACAATATGTGAACATTAATGAATGGGACTTCATGTAATGTAACCTAATTTGTAACAAATAATCTTTTTCTGTATTGATTGACTTAAAAATATAAAGAATTTGTTAGTCTTATGAGAAAAGTATAAATGAAAGAAAAACTAATGTAATTTCATATGGTATTTTTATTAATCAATTGTTAAAGTACTGAATGGTTTTGGTAAATAAAAAAATGTCTTGAGTGAAAAAAGAAATACATATTTTCTGTGAGTAATTACTGAAGTATTGTAAGTCAATTAACAGTGGAGTTACCTTCAAATGATCAATATTAAGTTAATAAACCTTTGTTTAGATGAACTGATATTTTTCTGTGTAGGAGCTTCGGGAAGATAACAGAATTCTACATGACACAAAAGACTTGTTGGAAGAACAACTAGACACCAGCAGAAAGAGGGCAGAGAGAGTTGTAGAACTTGAGAGTGATGTCTTGAAATATCTTGCACGTATTGATGAACTTTGTGAGGTAGACATTTATTATTAATTTGGACAGAATGAAAGCATCTGAAACAATATCTGTAGGAAATCATTGTTGATTCTTACATGACAGTTATACATCAAATAATGTACTCAAAATGTTCACAGGAAAGATTGTATACTTAACTCTTCCGACACGGGGTCGGTCAATTTGACCGAGTCACGTGACCTTTTGTACTCGTTTAAAGTTGACAAATTTATTACTTATAACTCTCTATATATTGGGTATATCTTCATGAAATTTGGCAATTTTTCATATTACAAGTCTTTCACATACAAAAAGTCATGTTTTTTAGTGAAGTACTTTTAATAAAATAAAATAAAGTTTTGTTCATGAATATATTGAGTATTTGTTTTGAATAGTCCGTGTGCAAAGTATTTTTCATGTTAAAATTAAAAATACTTTTCGTCATCTCAAAAATCTCAAATTTCCTTTGTGTAATCCCTAAAACTTCCTAAATGCATTTCAAACGTTTTTTTCATTAAAACTTTATAGTTTATCTGTTATTTTCTCAACCCTAATCTCAATTCGACCCACCTTGAAACCACCAAGAAAAAATCTAAATAAACCTAAATTAACCTTCTTTTCTTTCTTGGATGAGTTCAAATTGTAACATGAAACTACATTCGTTTATCCTAAGTAGCTCTAAGTTCGTAACATTATACATCTATTTATAATTAAATATTATTGTTTTATTGCTATTTGAACCATGTCTAACTACTATTCGCACCATTATAAGTTGTAAATCACTCTGGGAACGTGCAGCTCGTGTGGGTGCTTCGTGAACAATTTTAATTATATTATTATTATTATTACTTATTTTACCTATTCTAGTCTTAAATAACTTAAAAAGATCCGTACTTTTAATTTTAGTTACTTTTATAATAATAAATAAAGAATAAATATGAAAAACAAGAAATAAAGTACTTACCCAATTTTCTTTTTTCTTGCTCTCAATTGTCGAGGAGAGTTAAGCCTGATTTTTTTTTTAGTGATTACAGTAAAGCACTTAACAATTTTTATTTAATTAAATAATACACCAAAGAATATAGACTAATAACATGCAAAAAGTAGACAAATTCACTTACTTCTAAAGATTTTCCTGGCTTTCTAACTATGCGACAAGAGCCATTACAAATTCATGCAAGCTAGTCGTTAACTTTCCCACGGGAATGATGTTGCTACTCCGAGTGAAATTGACAATTATCTGTTCAGAACACAATGTTATACAATACGCCATTTGGTAGATGAAAACCTTTACTTCCTATTGGTTATAGGTAATATATAATGAAACTTAAGAGAGAACTATCAATGAATTGTGAAAGAGAGGATGTTGCATGAGGGCTACAAAAATTATGGTCTGTTTGAGCAATATTGATTTTATAGAGAGCATTTTACGTTTAATTTCGTACATTTTTGAGGGGTGATGAATAAAATAGAGATGATGATATGCTAAGACCAAATGTGTCGTGTGTTACACTAGTGGAAATTCAGGATTTATTTAGATATTTCCTTTTGGAATTAAGAACTTAAAACTTGTATACTATTAAAAAAAAAAAGCCCCCCAGTGGCACAGCAGTGTGTCTGCGGACTTACAACGCTAGAAACCGGGTTTCGATACCCGTGGTGGGCAGAGCACAGATAGCCCTTGTGTAGCTTTGTGCATAATTAAAAACAAACTATTAAAATGTGGATTATTAGCTAAGATTTTAGCCTATTCTAATTGGTATAACATAAACAAAAAGTAGTTTAATAAAATTTTGAATGTAAGACACTAAAACCTTGTGTCATGCACAGTAAAGGGTACCCAGGCCGATAGGGTTAATATATAATGTTTGTCATTAATAATCTGAAAAAAAAAATAAGTTATTACATTGAAGTTGCTTCTCTCCTCTCAAGATTTCATTAACAGATGGAGAATTTTACTAAACAGTAAAATTTTATCTTTTCATTGGATCATCAAAACTAACCCTTTAAATATGGTCTTTCACACTGAAAACTAATGCCAAATTTCTTAACCTCTTTCTAAGAGCTACCACACCAGTAACTGTCTGTTTTTATTGTTGCATAGTTAAGATTAACGTTTATTTCCATTATTTGTTTTGTACATTGTTGCTAGAAGGTGCTCACAGCTGAAATCTGTAACATATTGCCATCTTATACTTTAAACTGTACTAAAGAAACAGTGTCTATAAGAAATTTCTGTACCCTCATTGCACTTTATTCAGACTTTTTGAACATTTTGTTCACAGTAACTGAATGTGAATGTATTAGGTCGTCAAGAAATTAATGTCGTCTTTTTTTAGATAAAAAACCTGAACAACTTGTA